CGTAGTTGCGATATAAAAGTGATGATTAAATAAGAGTAGCCCAAGAATTTTCGGTTGGTGCTCTTGACTAACTGCCTTTCCTCTAGATTATCACTTTGAAATTAGGGATGGCTAGCACAGACATACCTCGCGCGAATATCCGAAACAAAGAAGTCAAGATGTAGAAATGTTTTTCTAGGCCTTGTTATTTTAAGCAAATAGGTTTCTCTGTAAACAAGAACGTCATCTATATTATTATTTGCCGTTTTGTTTTGCGTAAACGTTTTAAAAATAATTTTGATGATCCAGAACATTAAATTTTCAAATTTGCCTTCACCAATACATTAAAAAAAACGAATACAAATATTTACACACAATGTTACGACCAACATATCTCGGGCACACACTCATACGAACCTGTTCTCTATTCATGTGATGTAAAGATAATTATTAGCTTTTCATGACGATTAAAAAAGTGAAACGCACGCGCCTTACATAACATAAAATTGGCGACACCTTACAGTTTGATAAATATTCTTTAATGAGTTGATAATAGGATCTATCAATCATTTGGGCTCCCACAGTTCAATAATACACCGTTTTGTTTAGAAACGCAATTGCTTGTGCTTTCTAAGTTCTTCGAAAGTGGCTCCAAAAATAACCAGAAACTGAACAATTCGACCTATGAAATAATTCACTATGAAAAAAAAATGTGAAGAATTTAAAGCGTTCCCATGAGTGCAGAGAAAAGAAGATTTTCTGATTTCTACGGAAGGACTTGACTCTTGAACAAGATGTAGCTCAAGCAATTTAGAGAGGTTTCAAGATATATTTCTCGATCAACTTGGGTATTTCTACATTAGGTATAACATTAGAGATCTTCTTAAACACGCAGTTCCCATTGTCTGTTTGTAAAGTATCCATAGTTATCTGTCGATTTCATTGTTTTAAATTAAATAAAAAAGAATCGTCGCCACACTTGAAGGATTTAAAACATGCGGAGCGATAACACCGCGACCTTGGTATTTTTTTTTCTCGCGTATGCTTCTTTGAAGAGCAGTAAGAAAGGACATAAGACTGAGATGAACTGCCAGGTTAAACACGAAAACGGATAGAGGAAGGATGTTAAGGTTAATACTTTTTGCACTCTTGCTTCTTTAGCAATATTAAACCTCTATAAAAGCAAAACTATTTATTTGATTACACTATACCTCCAACCTGTGTTACACGACTCTGACATCATCATATTAACTACACAGAGTTCGTATTTCAATGAGTTACATTGTTATTTTTCACGGGGGGTAGTGCTAGAGCCGGCCAGGAGAAGTGTTGGAGCTCCTAATGTGTTATGTATCATCTCCAACTAGGAGCGTTGGGATGGAGGAAAGAAGCAAAAACAAAAGACAAACTATGTTGTTTTAGTATAAGAATGTAAACGTGGACGTTTGTGAGTTATCTAATCTTAAACAAAAGACAAACCACGTGGTGTTAGTGGAAGAATGTGAACGTGGACGTATGTGAGTTATCTAATCTTAAACCAAAAATAAACCACGTGGTGTTAGTGGAAGAATGTGAACGTGGACGTCTCTGATTTATCCAGTCATAAATCAAAGCAAAAGAAACTACGTGGTGTTAGTAGAAGAATGTGAGTTATCTAATCTTAAACCAAAGACAAAACAAACTACGTGGTGTTAGTAGAAGAATGTAAACGTGGAAGTCTGTGAGTTATCTAATCTTAAACCAAAGACAAACCACGTAGTGTTAGTGGAAGAGTGTGAACGTGGACGTCTAATTGTTATCTATTCCTAAATTTAACACAAATCAAGGTCTGGTATGTTTGAAATGTTCAAAGTGTTAAGCTCTTACGACTAGTAACCGTACGTAACGAGGTGATAATTTATTTAAGTTCCATGTACAAAGCCGTACTGAAAGTACGCTGTACTGCTTTTTATTTCTTTTCCGAACAAAAGGACTTACAGTAATGTTTCAGATGGTGGAGAAGTATGAAATCATTAAACATTCTGTTTACTCTGGAACTTATTTATAAACACAGGAAGTGACAGTGTTTGTATTTGTATTTTCCTTCTTATGTTAACTACACGACGTAAATAGATACTTTTAAACTTCAATAAATGCACGGAACAAAAACGCTTACGTAAGAAAAGAAATAATAAAAACTAAACTTTGTGTCATATATATTTACAGTTCAGTTTGGTTTCGAACTATCTTTCATACAGTGTTTTATTGTTGTTGTTTTTTTGTTTGTTTTTTCACTGTGTGGTTTATTCTTCTGTTGCAGAAGCATGTTTATGTAAGTTGTGGAAGCTCGAGAAACATTTCTGTAAAATTAAATCTGTTCATAGTATAAGTCATTTTATCTGTTACTGTTAAGAACGTGCACGAAAGATATCTCCAAAATAGGAGACGCACTTCACAAAGTACACTATAAACTTGTATTATATATATAACGGTTGAGAGTGTTTGTTAGTTTTCTTCAAATAATGCCCAAGTATCGGTTGAATTTCGTGACAGCATTTCCTTATGAAATTCCATAAAGGTGTCACAGATATGAATATCTCACGCTAGATAATTTGTTTGTTTGAAGTTAAGCACAAAGCTACACAATATGCTATCTGTGCTCTGCCCATCACGGGTATCGAAACCCGGTTTGTAGCGTTGTAAGTCCAATGACTTGCCGCTGTGCCACTGGAAGACCGTAGATGAGCCTGATTATATGAACATTTCAGTCTAGATAAGCCTGCTTTAAAAAAACAAGCTTGAAATGAGCCAAATATGATCTTGATCTTCAGAGATTAAACTAGGCTCTGAAATAGGTTAATTATATTTAAAACAGATGGGTAGTGCACAAAATATTGCAAAATAAAGCACCTTTTTTTTAACTCTCATTTACATGGCTATATGCATTAAAACTTAAAACTCCTTTAGCCAATTAATTTAGTATATTCGCAAATATTATACCGAGATCAATATCGTAACACTGTTATTAATATAATATTATGATTACAAATTTGCGACATGTCCACCAGAGGTCACCACAATCAGGTCTTGAGGGATTAGGTTTTTATAACATGAGATTGGTTATACCTTCATGCACCCTATTTGGAACTAATGAATAACTTTAAAACTTTGGAGGGTTGCTTATAAAATATGTTAACTATAACCTGGAATTACAGGCCATAAACCCTCTGATGTGGGTGTAAGATGAATATTACAGAGTCTAAGTTTTCAATAATTCACCCGCTGAATACAAATAATGGGGCGTAGCTTCAAAGTGCTCTTAGATCAGCAGTTCCCATCGGTGGTCTGCGGATCCGTTGGAGTGTTGGAATATTATAGCGAGGTAAAAAAATAGAGACGATACTCTACTCGTTTAAATGACAAAAATATTTTATTTGAAAATGTTATTAACTTACTTATTTATGCCACATACTTTCAGTGTCTCAACGGTTGAGGGTTTATAAAGCTAAAAATCGGGTTTCGATACTCTCGGTGGGCACAGCACAAAAAGCTTATTGCGTAGCTTTGTGCTTGAAAGCAAACAAATTTGTGTCACCACCGCATTTATACATGTGTACACTTTAGGTCAGCTTGCAGTCTGAGTATGAGGGTCCGCGAGATTACCTTTGATTCGTCAGTGATGTAAAAAAAAGCTTGAGAACAACTGCTTGCTTTAGACAGTGTACACAACAACAAAGTATTATAAGTTTGTGCACTTCATATGTTGTTCCATTATAACGTTAACTGGTGTATTGGTTATGGGGCGGAGGGGAGAGGGGAGTACGTCCTGCACTACTTGTAAAACTGGAATTAGGTTTGATAGTAGGTTGTATATGTGTATAAAGTCATGAACCGCAGTAAACTCGTGCCACTAATGCCGTGTTCCTAACTAACGGTGGTTCAGGTGTCTCAGTTTTGTAATACAAATTTACCTAAACGTATTTTGGATTTTTTACTGCGGTGGCATATTCCCCTGGTTCACAGGTATAGGAGTATTCTTTTTTTATTAGCAAATGGTTTTGGTGCATGCAGTTTCTGTCAAGCAAACTATGAACGAACGAACGAAAGATGTTGCTTTGTTATATTATGAAATTTTGGAATTTCCAACTTTTTTGGTAGTGGCCGCTAGTAAAGCAGGAGCGTAAAATTTATAGCAACAGCTATAAGCACGCTAGGGATAGATGGAGCAGTTTACACATGGCTGCCGTGTAGTATTTTTTGTTTTTAAAGCTAGAGTAGATCTGACAGTGATGTGGTTGTAAAATTGTTTATGCAGTAGCGTCATTGAATTCCTAATGAATTTCCAGCACTTGAATTATATAAGCACATATTCGCTGTATTTCAGGTTTTTAATTTGTTTACAATTAACAACCACTTATCAATTATGTTTATATAACCAACCGGAATATCTGGTTCATAAAGATACAATTGTTAATTTTTCTGAGGGTTATGCAGTATCTCCATAAAATATATATTATTTGTGTATATTTTTTTATTTTTCAGCCATCATTTTAAATATAGATTTTATTATTTTCAAATACAGAATTTGAAAGATGCAATTATAATATTATAAAATACTATAGTTTAAGTTTATTTTATAAATTCATGCTTATTTTAATCACACACACAAAAAAAAGTACAGGAGCGACGTTCTGGTCCGCCTCCGGCTCCACTAAACCATTGGGTATCAAATGTATCTTTGTTTTGATATCAGTAGCAGTAGTCCAATGAAAACGTCTCTGATGGTTTATTTTGACATGAATGTTCTGTGGCCGAATACTATATATATATATATACATACTGAGAAGTGTTAATGCAGACAGAAGGTTGTTTGTGGTCACGTGGAAAATTGTTCACTGACTGTCTCCTGGGTGGCTGGCGGTGGTATTAGTTTAGAAATTCTATATTATTGATAAGTATTCATACACAGAATTATTTATATGAAGGGCTCACTTGGAAACATAAGCCATAATTCTCTCTACACAGTCACTATTCAGTTCAAGTTTGCTGCTCTAAGCGTGGGTGAACCTTATAAACTTCGGTGATATATATCAACAAGAAATGATCAGTTACATCACTCGAACTAAAAATCATTAGAGAGACAGTATTTGAAATGCTGGAAGTGGTTGACTCTCTGAAAGTAGACTCCTCCCCAGTTGAGTATTGAGAAAAAGTATGATTTCACCCAACTAACACACGTGAAAGTGGTGGAGCAGAACGCCCACAAGTCGGAAACCCTCGGGGTTTGGTGTTCCACAACTTGGAAACAAAGTAAGTTATTCATATACAACAGGGTTCTTGGAATGATTATATATAGATATGTTAGAGATTTCTTTTTCTTTTCCACCAAAGGTGCAACTTAAAAGAGAATCTGTGACGTAGAGGCCTAATGTTTTTTTGATTGGCCGTACCTTTTGCTGTAGACTGCAGTTTCGCCTATTCAAGGCTCATCAGCACAACTTGGGTCAACAAAGCAAAGAAATACAGTTAGGATTCTTAGAAGATAAATATACAATTTTTTAGTTAAGTTAAGAAATTAAATATATGCTACAAAATTAAAATAAAGTATAATAATAATACCGAACCGAGAAGACGGTACACTTTATACGTTTTAAATGGTAAGAATCGGTACAAGGCTAGCATTCAAGAAGAACCATAATCGAAATATTGAAATAGTTTCAAAATGTCATAAGGTCAGCTTGAAAAGCGATTGGCACACATAGCAATGTTGGAAGCTCCGTATGTTTTATGTTTAGTAGTTAAAAGCCTAGTATTTTATTATGAAATGCTTGGAAGTACATCTCACACAGAATGTAAGTTTTATTGAAAATATATTGTCTGTGCGTGTTTGATACCTGTTTACTGCAAAATAAAGTTTTTAGTCATGTATTTTTCATATTTTAGGAAACAATTTCGTCACATATTTTTCATACATTAGTTTATAATCAGAAACTTTCCCTTTCTGAATTTTTTTGTCTATCAGTGGTCTTCAGTATAAAATAAGCTACTAGTGGCTGCACTGTTATGTTAGGCCTGAGTGAACATCGTTGCTAGACACCTACTACAATATTTGAAGCTAAGAACTCCATGCATATGTAGTTGAACCAAGATCGAAATTCAACCATAAAGGTGTTGTTACACAAAGTAGTGTCCTCCCAGTCACACAGCGGTATATCCGCGGTGTTATAACGCTAGAAACCGGGTTTCAATACCCGTGGTGGGCAGAGCACAGATATCACATTGTTTAGCTTTGTGCTTAACTTCAAACAAACAAACACAAAGTAGGTTTGAGGTACAAAGTCACTTCACCTTTGAAGGGTCTAAACGGTTAAAATATATTAAAATAATGGCACAATATTCACTTGAAGAACAGCTTTTCATAATCCTACAGTAGAGATAATGTCTTCAGATTATCTGGGTTACTGTATGTCGAATGGTTCTCAAATAAACGTCATCCTTTACACTAGGTGACGGGAAATGTGGCTTGGTTTGTTTTAAACTTCGCGCATATCTACACCATGGCTATCTGCGCTAGCCGTCCATAATTAGAGGGAAGACAACTAGTCAACGTCACCCACCTCTAACTTTTGAGCTACTTTTTTACCAACGAATAGTGGGATTGACTTCTGAAAGGATGAATATGTTCGGTGACGAGGATTCTAACTCGCTATCCTCAGATTGGAGTCAAGTGTCCTAACAACCAGGCCATGCCAGGTCCGCGGGAAATCTGTATCAGCGGCTATTTACTACAGGCTCATTTCCGCATATACGCCGAGTGGGAAGAGCAAGAACAGCAACCAGTATTGCCATTGAAGCCACCATATTGGCATTTTTCACATTAGGGCAGCTTTTGATTATTTGTCACCGTTTTATGATGTTCTTAGGAATTTTTCTTTATTTGCATTTATGCCTAAAATTGCTGTTGTAGAATCGATTTTGGTAAGTTTTGGTTTGAAATGCTTCCTTTGTTATTATCTACACCTTTGTTATCGACATTTTTGGTGTATAATAGTAATTAGTAAAAGTTTCGAAGGATATAACCTTGAAGCTGACCTTAAATGACCTCAATAATGTTATCACAGGGTAAAACTACAACACCTCATTACATTCCACTAACAGATATTTTCCTACAAACTCTCTATTTCTAAATTAGTTGTCTGTCAATGAACTTCTGAATCAACCAGTATAAAATAAGCCAGTATTGGCTGCATTGCTACGTTAGCCCTAAGTGAACGTCGTATATAGATATCTACGACAATATTTGAAGCGAAGAACCAATGTATACTATATTCTTTCTTTAATGTTCTTTCATTAACAATCGTTGTTGGAATATTTAATATATTTGTTTTTATTGTTATACTTTATTATAGAAATTACCTTACATTGTTAGCTTAATATATAGATTTAGAACTAACCCAAATTGGCTAAGCTGACCAGTCCTCATAAGATATAATTGGGTTTAGAGCCGAAAATATTTTTAACAGTGAAGCTATTCAAGTGATGAAACAATGCATTCTAATTTTTACAATTAAGAACGTAAGAACAGTTTATTTAATTAGTTATACTTATTACCGGGTTTATTTTTATTTTTGAACTGATTAGGTAAATTGCTTGGATCAGAAGATAATATTGATATTTTTAGAGTGATACCTTTTAATCAAATGAAAATTTGAGCCAGAAATATACAAGGAATTAAACTGTATGTACATCACAAACCTAAAACTATATTACCTCTATACTCATATAATTCGTTTTAAGAGATGGTATGTGTTTCGACCAACAGGGACTTTTTTGTTCATATCTGTAACTTAGTGTATTTTGTTCCATTTGGAACTTGTTGGATAATTCCTACAGCTTACGTAGGAGCTTTATGCTGTGAGTTTTTATTGTATACAAGGAAAACTGAATGTTGAAAAGATACCTAAATATTACGTATTTTCTTGTGTACAGGGATACTGTGCAGGATTTACTGTATGTAAGAATTTTTGAATATAGTTTGTTTTATTCTATATAAGGATACCTGAATATTCAGATCAAACCAAACTACTTAATTAGAACAAAACTAAAAATCAACCTGGTAACGTGTATAGTTTTATGTATATTATTTACTGTACATAAGAATACCTCAAAATATTGTACATGATTTACTGTATATATAAGAATACCTCAAAATATTGTACATGATTTACTGTATATATAAGAATACCTCAAAATATTGTACATGATTTACTGTATATATAAGGATACCTCAAAATATTGTATATGATTTACTGTATGTATAAGGATAAGCTGAATATTCATTGTTTTATTATATATGTAAGGGTACCTGAATACTGCTTTATTGTAAGTCAGAACAAATTGAATATTGTTTGTTTTATTGTAAGTAAGATACCTGAATATTGTTTGATTTATTGTAAGTAGGTATATCTGAATATTGTACACGATTTAATATATGTATAGGGATAAGCTGAATATTGGTTGTTTTATTATATGTAAGGGTACCTGAATACTGTTTTATTGTAAGTAAGGATATCTGAATATAGTTTGTTTTATTTCAAGTAAGATACCTGAATATAGTTTGTTTTATTGTAAGTAAGATACTGAGTATACTTGTTTTATTGTAATAAGGATATCTGAATATTGTTTGATTCTAAGTAAGTATAACCTGAATATGGTTTTATTGTAAGTAAGGATATCTGAATATAGTTTGTTTTATTTTAAGTAAGGATATATGAATATTGTTTTATTGTAAATATAACCTGAATATAGTTTGTTTTATTTCAAGTAAGATACTTGAATATAGCCTGTTTTATTGTAAGTATAACCTGAATATAGTTTGTTTTATTTCAAGTAAGATACTTGAATATAGCCTGTTTTATTGTAAGTAAGGATATCTGAATATGGTTTTATTGTAAGTAAGATACCTGAATATTGTTTGTTTTATTGTAAGTAAGATACCTGAATATTGTTTGTTTATTGTATGTATAACCTGAATATTGTTTGTTTATTGTATGTATAACCTGAATATTGTTTGTTTATTGTATGTATAACCTGAATATAGTTTGTTTTATTTCAAGTAAGATACCTAAATATAGTTTGTTTTATTTCAAGTAAGATACCTGAATATAGCTTGTTTTATTGTAAGTAAGGATATCTGAATATTGTTTTATTGTAAGTATAACCTGAATATTGTGTATGGTTTATTGTTTTGTGATTTTTGGGGATAAAGATAACTAGATATTATGTTTTGTTACTTTATATTATAAATTACGTATGTTACGAAATCTTGTGAAATGGTAAACTTATTATTGTTCCTTAATTTGTACATATAGTTTACTACAGTATTAAACAGTCCTTACGCTGCTATTAAAGTTAAGATCATGACGTTTTTAGAGTTACTTTGTTTTAGTATTTGCCTGATTTTTCACACTGTGGAAAGATTTTTTCAATATAGATGAAATTTTATAATTGTGGACAAGCTTTAACACTTGTCTGAAGCTTGGCTGCCTCGACGATTTTCGTTCTTGAGCGGATAAGCTACAAACTAACCAACGATAATGTGATCAATGAGGCACGTGTCTTCTCCTTCATAGTGCATTTGGTGCTGACGTGTACAAAATTATCTGCAGATGCTGGAGCCGGTTTATTTTGCACTTTCTGTTCTTGTTTGTTCGGGCCTGCGGAAACACAAAGGTGGATCGTTTCTATACATGGAGGAGGACGGGTAAGAGAAGTAGGGAGAAAATTAAACGTACGAGCTGTCGACCCTGTTAATAAAATAACGACCCCTCTTTCATCGCGATCACTGATTCTGTTGTCGAGGCTTTGATAAAGAACTTTTAAGTCGATTGATAACTGGTGCTTTGCTGAAATTTCAGGATTTAAATGAGAATATGTACACATCCAATGACTTCGTGTATTAGTTGGACCATGCCGTCGTCGTCAACTTGTAGAGATACAATTTCACATGTTCTCGGATTTCAAAATAGACACTTGACAAATTAATTAACCTAATTACAAAATCATACAAGAGAAGGTGAATTTCCTCTAGTGGCAGTATTCATGTGTTCTGACGCTGATGTAAAGACTGTAAACAACAAAACACAGTGTTCCAACTATAAAATATAATGTTCGTACTATAAAACACTGGTAAGGTCTTCCTGAGGAGGTGGGGGTAGAAACCTTTCTGTATTAAAACTCATAACTGGTGAGATATCACAACTTATTCACCAGATTTTCTCACAAACACACATAGAACTAAGGACATGCAGTGACAGTGCCATGACCCAAGGCACATAAGTGTCAAACTCAAATCACCAAAATGTCATTTTAACTGTTAATTGGTAAACGCTTAAGACTTATTGAACTTTATTAGACATGTGTCTATTGGAACTCAGTTTTATCATTATTGTTCAAATGACAATAGATGAATAACGTATAATTTCTGTTTCTAGAATTAGATTAAAATGTTAATATAAATATTTTAAATTCTTTTCTCTCAAGACTACTTGTGGAATACACTGCCACTATGTTGGTTACCTATTGCGCTAAAACAACATTTCACACAGTTCGTACTTCAAAGTTTGATTGCCTGTTTGTTAAAATCTGTTTTCTGTTATTATTCTTCGAAATAGACAGACATATTTTCTGCCAATAAACACGTGCTTAGAAGGTTTTAAATATGTTGTCTACAGTTTTTATGTGAAAAACTTTTCACTGATAAAACAAAACAATAATAAATAGGTTATCTATTGTCTATACCACTAAACTAATATGTGTTGATTTTAAAGTAATTCTTAAAAATTGCCCAGTCTATAAATGAAATGCCCTATTTAATTCAATATATTTAAGTTAATCACAAACTGAGTATCACTTATGGAGTTACTCTTGCATAAAAAATAAGATATTCAGCTCCATAATATACCCTCTGGGGCGGGGCGTATAAAAGATTAGCCTCCCCAAATAAACAGTTCCTCACGGAGCATTATTCTAACCAACTCCAAAATATTGTACAGTGTATGTGGAGAGACAGGGAGATCAAAAGAGAGTGTATATGAGTCACTGAAAAGAGTTTCTTCATTTAGGAGCACAAACTGACTCTTCCCAATTAAGCAACACCCACCCACCCTCATGTGAGAGAATAGCCTACCTAAACACTCAATCGCCGCGTATGAGTATCCTAGTAGTCTTAAGTATCATATTTAAGCACAAATATTTAATTAAGGTACTGAAACTGTTTATCAACAGATTGTGGCGTGAATGAAGAAACAATAACCGTAGGAGCCGCTAAAAAATTCAGGTTGCTATACGTTTTCGAAAAATGACAGATATGTTTGATCAACTTGTCTACTACAATTGAGCAGTCGTGTTTATATTGTATGACGTGGAGATTTATTAATGTAATGTTTATTTGTTTTTTTAAGTTCTAACGAGGCAGAAAAAGTTCTTAACTGTATGATTCCAGTTAATGTCCTTTTGTTTTACAATCCTATGATTAAAACCATTTCTTTCACTGTTGAACTATGGTAGTTGAGTAACTGAAACTTTATCTCCTTCTAAGTGATCAACTCATAACGAAACCTAAACCATCAGCAAACTTGTCTTTAAGAATGTTTGTTTTTAATTTGTAACAGTTAAGCTTACATAAGTTGTATTAACTTTTGTCCTGAAACTTGAGCTAACTTTTTTTTCTTCTAAATATTGTTATATAGAATATATTCTTCTAACTCTTGAGGTTCTGTTACGAGATCATACTAACTTTTAAATATTTTTATATTATTTTACACATAAAAAGTTTTCTGCTTTGAATCGTTTTTTAATGTTATATAGGCAAAGCATAGCAGTAAACTGTAAACTCATGGTCTTAGTGATTTAGTATCAGAAATATAGTATTTAAACTGTCTTCGTATTTCAAGAACTAGTGATTACAGTAATATGCATGGTATTGTTTAAATGATAACACTTTACGTCATCATCATTATGCTTGGTTCTTGTAGCATGTATAACGTATTTTCATGTCAGTCGTTTAGCAATGATTAGCCTGTTACAGGTATCCCATATGCAAAAACATAATGTTAGGTAAATACTAAACTGTAAACGCTTAGTAAGCGCAGCAATGGTGTTGTTGGTCGAGTTAGTAAAATATCTGAACGAGAAACGTTATGACGAAAGAAAGTTTAACTGAACCTTTGGTAAGTTGTGAGCGGAAGATCTGAATGTAACTAATTCTGGTGAAGTCTCTTTGGTTTAGTTGATACTCAGATAAATATTTTCTATCTCATTCATCTGTATCTGAATAGTTTTGGAGATATTTCAGTCCTTGGATGATCATGAGCATTGATAACAAAGGCAAGCCCAAGTATGAAAACACCATTAATCATACTCGATTACAGTTGTTTTATTTACTTTTGATCACTAGTATTTATCTTGCTTTTCATTTTACCGGTTAGTTTATGTTTTAGTGTATTATACATGCAGCAAAAGGATGCTACCAATTATTGCCTGATGTTTTATGAAGATAACATTGGACATTTTGTTTTATTGTCTTCATTCTCTAGATACCACGGTGGATATCAGTTCGTCTTTGCTAAACATGTATGACACCCTTGTTGGAAACAACAAAAAGAGGGGTGACAGAGACGATGAAGATGGTTCCAGCAAAAATGACAGTCAGCTGTTCACTTCTGGGCTTCCAAATCAACACAGGGTTCAAGGCAGTAGAGGCAGAACACGTTATCTTGCTCAAAGAAGCTTTTCAGTAAACGACACATATAACAAGCGTCCCCTTAGCACCAGTTCGGTGTCTTCCTCTTCCTCCTCTTCTTCCTCGTCACTTCCTAGAAACGGCATGGATGTTAAAAGATCTTATTTAGCCAGTATAGAAAGCTTAGAGGACGACAGTGATCCAGATGAGACCAAAGGCTCTCATCTTGGCCGGAGTAATGTACATGGGTTAATAGACGTCCAGGCTCCTTACAACCCAGGTCTTCGTCCTACCGACCGTGTCGTCATGGAGATAGTGGACTCTGAAAGGACATATGTGAAAGATCTGCATGAAATAATTGAAGTAAGCAAGAGTAGTTTCAGTAAATAATGGATTCATAAGTATAGATTATTAATATGTACATTTCTCTGTTTTTGTTTTGTTTTGTTTTGAATTTCGCGCAAAGCTACACGAGGGCTATTTGCGCTAGCCGTCCCTAATTTAGCAGTGTAAGACTAGAGGGAAGGCAGCTAGTCATCACCACCCACCGCCAACTCTTGGGCTACTCTTTTACCAACGAATAGTGGGATTGACCGTCACATTGTAACGCCCCCACGGCTGAAAGGGCAAGCATGTTTGGTGTGACGGGGATTCGAACCCGCGACCCTCAGATTGCGAGTCGAGTGCCTTAACCACCTGGCCATGCCGGGCCACTTTTCTCTGAAAGGTCTTATTAACATGATATGTCAAAACATGTATATGGGTTTGCATTCCAATGTAGCGTCAACGAAATTTATCCTTCTTTCCTTTTCATAGTGAAACATAAAACCCCATAAACCTGTTCTTAGTTTTCTTAGTGGGACTTAGACACAGAAATGTGTCTTTACAGTTCGTCTTGGGTTCCACTTAATTAACACGCCGTTTCTATTCTTAGTGGATGTTTTTGTAGTTAAGCGCAGAGCTACACAATAGGCTATCCGTGCTGTACCAACCACGGGTATCGAAACCTGGTTTTTAGCGTTATAAGTCTTAAAAACTTATCGCTGTACCACTGGGGGGAGGCGTTCTTAGTAGGAGGTAAAATGAAACATACTTATCGTTGATGTTCTTAGTTGGGGACAGAAATCCAATATACATGTCGTTAATGCTGTCAAAGGAGTATAAAGCTCTCCGTATTGCTTGTGAAGTGTAAGCCAAATATAATGTCTTTACTGTTCTTCTTGTAGTGTAAACCCAATATATCTGTCGTTCCTGTTTTCAATACGATGTTTAAATAACGTTCCTGCCATTGCTAGGTTTTAATGGAATGTAAACCCAATTACCTGTTGTCATTGCTACTGCTAGCAGTGTCTAAATATTCCAGACATTATTGTTCGTACTAGGCTGTAAACCTAATATACCTGTCATAGTTATTGTTAGTGGAGTGTAAGCTCAATATATCTATTGTTAATCTTGATAGTAAAGTGTAAACACAACATATTTGTCGTTATTGTTGACAGTAGAGTTTAAACACAATATATCTGTCGTTATTGCTGTTTGTGGAGTGTAGATCCAATATATCTATTGTTATTGTTGTTATTAGAGTGCAAACTCAATATATCTGTCGTTATTATCGTTTGTGGAGTGTAAACTAAATATATCTATCGTTATTGTTGACGGTAAAGTGTAAACACAATATGTCTATCGTTACTGTTGACAGTAGAGTGTAAAACTAAAATATCTGTCGTTATCGTTGATTGTAGTGTAAACACAATATATCTATCGTTATTGTTGACAGTAATATAAGCACAATATATCTGTTGTTATTGTTGACAGTAGTGTAAACATAATATATCTATCGTTATTGTTGACAGTAATATAAGCACAATATATCTGTCGTTATTGTTGACAGTAGTGTAAACATAATATATCTATCGTTATTGTTGAAAGTAATATAAACACAATATATCTGTCGTTATTGTTGACAGTAGAGCGTGAACACAATATATCTGTCGTTATTGTTGACAGTAATATAAGCACAATATATCTGTCGTTATTGTTGACAGTAGTGTAAACATAATATATCTATCGTTATTGTTGAAAGTAATATAAACACAATATATCTGTCGTTATTGTTGACAGTAGTGTAAACATAATATATCTATCGTTATTGTTGAAAGTAATATAAACACAATATATCTGTCGTTATTGTTGACAGTAGAGCGTGAACACAATATATCTGTCGTTATTATTAACAGTAGAGTGTAAATACAATATATCTGTCGTTATATCCACCATAGAACAGTATTTTAAAAAAAGTGATTTCAAAGAAAACCTTTGTACGTTATAGACGTAACATTATTATGACATAGATATATAAATATATTCTATGAACCTATACAAAACAAAGCTGTTGTGTTACTGAATTTTGCGTAAATCTACTCGAGGGCTTTCTGCGCCATCCGTCCCTTAATTTAGAAGTAATAGACCAGAGGGAAGACAGCTGTTGAACATCACCCATCCGAAAGTCTTGAAAAATGAGATTGATTATTACATTATAACGCCCCTACGGCTGAAAGGGCTGGCATGTTTAATGAGGAGATTCGAACCCGCGTCCCGCAGATTACGAATCGAGCGCACTAACCACCAAGTCACCAGGCCTATAGAAAATATAGCGTTTGACGATACAAAAACAACATGATTAATGAAAGAACAACGGTTTTAAAATCACAGCAAGGTTAGGTTTAATGTCAAGTTTTTGTTTTTCCCCAGTATTTAGGAGAAATTACCCGCGTGTTAACTGTCGACACATACATGTATTGAGTAATCTAGCAATAAGCTATTGTCAAAATAATAAAGAAGCCCATAAGAAATCATAGGAATCTGATGGCTGTGGTAAGCAGTCAATGGGTATGATACTGTTATAAAATGTGCCATGGCCTTCTGGGAAATCAACAAAAAATATGTATAACTTGCCTGTGCCATTGTAATTTGCATTTTTCTTAACCTTGATGGAGTGGAGTAGTGCCTCTCTGTGAAAATGGTGGGTGTGTTTGGTAAGAAAACATAATAGCTTGAAAATTCCGCGTGTTTTGCCACGATTCCGCACACTGTTGTTAGTTTTAGAACACAACTCTGAAAATTAAAGGCGGTGACATAAGGGATTCGTCAACGTTCAGGATGTTTCTTACTCAACGCATGGTCATTGATAAGGTGATAGGAAACCACATCAGATGTCAAAGTTTTCCCTCTTGTTTTCTTCACGTAACAGAGATATTAACGTCATTGGTAGAAACTCTGTGACGCAACAAAGATAGTTTACCCTTGGCAGGAACTCTGTGTTCTGTGGAATACTTATTATTAATATTATTTTCTAGTTTACAAAGCACATCCTTCTAAGTTCTCACTCATGCACTGAGTAAAGAAGTGGTTTCTTTGAGTTAAATCAATACGTAAATTTGGTTTTGATCATGCGATTCTTTGAGAAGGTATATATATATATATATTAGGTTTTAGATTTTGCCAAGTGTTGCAGTACTGATGATGATGGAGTAATGTATCAAAACATGTAAAGTTTATGAGTCTTAGATATTTATCTTTATACAATAGATTACCATGTAGATGTTTTATCGTATTTTTAGTCTCATTTTATATATTTATTGTGTTTTATTAAACGTTGGCTTCTTTCAACAACCGAGTTGTTTACGACCCTACAATGATTTGGTTTCTCATTTTTTTGGCTATAAAAGTATCGTTTTGTTTGTTTCACACATTATATTTATATCACTATTTTTCATTATACGTGATTCCCTTGTTAAGTAGCTATAATTCAAGAACTAATCTGTAATCACACATTGATGCGACACAAGTATTTGTATGTGACATTCATTTTGATTTTTTTTTATTTATTTACGTAGGGTTGATGTTTTGAGACTGTATGTGTATATTCACAGGGCGTTGTGTATGTAATATGTCTATATAAGTAAGGCGTTATAAATGAAGTTTCCATTAATAATTTGTCCTTAAGGGTTTTTGCTTATAAAATTAATGTTTTCGGTTTACAGTAAACATTGAAAGCCGATCTCGTGCAAAGCTATATTACCAAGCGTTTTCCGATAGTTGGTTTACTTTCGGATGTGTGTATCCTTCCGTTTTCAGTGGTACGAGTTACTATTATAAAAACTAGAGTATTTGGTTTGTTTGGAACTTCGCGCAAAGCTACACAAGGGCTATCTGCGTTATCCGTCCCTAATTTAGCAGTGCAAGACTAGAGGGAAGGCAGCTAGTCATCACCACCCTCCGCCAACTCTTGGTCTAGTCTTTTACCAACGAATAATGGAATTGATCGTCACATTATATATTTATAACGCCCCCACTGCTGAAATGGCGAACATGTTTGGTGGGAGGGAGATTCGAACCCGCGTCCCACAGATTGCACACTAACCACCTGGCCATGCCAGGCTTAGAGTATCGGGATATATTTTACAAATATCTATATATATACATATATCATCTGTGTGTGTGTGTCTTTTATATATGTATACTGGCAACTGGCTAATGTTATCGCTCTATATGTAGGTACAGATTAGTGCGACCATTAATATCGTAAGTAGTGACACAACAAACTGTATATCATATAATGGTAAAGTGAATTCAGAAACGAATCTATACATTTTGGACACGTAAATCTATTTGAATCTTATATAGATATTACACCAAACTAACCGAAAATTATTAGGGCCGAACTCCGTTGAACGTAGTATGGGCAAATATGTTCAATCAGTTCTTTAACTTCTTTATCTACTTTTGAATCACCTTTACAAGTATTTTAAACTGTCGTGTTCCCAGTTTCTAAACTCTGGTATCTTAAACTGATTTTACTTCATTTAATATATATATATGTATGTATGTATTTATGGCAAAGCTACTAAGGTTATCTGCTACTGTCCCTAATTTTGAACTACTGACCAGAGGGAAGGCAGCCAGTCAGCAGCACCCTACCACCCACGCTAAGGGGGTTGACTGTCACACTTATAATGCGTACACAGCTTAAACTGCGGGTAACGTTTTGTGGTGGCTCACAGAAATCCTGAGCTCTACCCCCCTCCCCTAATTTTTCTCCCTCATGTTTTTAAATGAACGTATAACTTAAAGAAAATCCTGAACGAATATGTTGCAGGTCAACCTTGAATCTGGTCCAGATCCTATTAAAACACCTGCTCACTAGGAAAGTCCTTCAATACCTTATTGGATCCAAACGTAGTTTCAACTTCATTTGAATTTGTTTCTTTGATTGAAAACACTTTTTTAATTACCAAATTTAATTCACTCTTTATATTAAAGGTAAATTTTCTCTTCATAGTTACTATATAAATTCAAAGTTG